CCCCCCCCCCCCCCCCCCCCCGTTTTTGAAAAGAAACTACGACTTCTTCCATTGAATGAGATATATAAAGGAAATAACATCATTGTTTATATTTCGGTTCCCTACAATACTTTTTCAAAAACATCGACAAATAATGCGCCTTTTACAACGATTTCCACAATCAAAATGCAAAATCATCAAATAAAGTTCATATCGCTTATTTACGGACAATTATAACAAACACTCTATAGAATACAGGACCTTCATTCAGAGGTAGCTAATATGGAACATTCTCCCAACACATGCAAAACCTATGAGTAATAAAATATTTTTAATTTAGGAAGCAGATCAAAGAAAACCTACTTTCCGATTGAATTTCTAGAAACGCGAACTCGTTGTAACGAAATGCGATTATTATTAAGATATGGGCTGGGCAGTTTAGAATTAGCAGTAAATAGGATGATGTAACACGAGCTCCCTTGAGAGTCCAGTAAATCGGTTTTGTTAGGAGCATTGCTCCTTCTTACACAATTGAACTGATTTACTGTCAACTAAATAAGAATCAGCAGGTCAAATGAAACTTGTTGTGTTCTCTTAGCCGTTAAATTTCCCAGTTGGTCTCTGATTTGCGTGATTGGCGTGACAGGGTAACGAACACTCCAGTAGAACAGACGGCAAAAGTGTGTTCCTCTTTGACGGACCATGTAAAATATCCATAAACGAAAAAAGAGCCTAGAGTTTAAACTCCGTAGAAAATATGTATTAAACTTGTTAAATGAACCACAACATTTAACTAAAAGAAAAACTCCGAAACTTCTTAAGAACGTGTCCATATGAGATCCAAGCAATATCAAAATTTGAGTCCAAATGGTACCCTCTAGAATATGATACTGTTCTGTGTACATACTGGTATTAGTCCAAGTTAAAAGCCCGCCGAATATTTTTGCCAAAGTTCGAACAGTTCACCAGATACAGTGGTTCGAGTAAAATGACACGCAATTTCAAGTAAAACGGTGGTAAATTCGCCCATGAAGTTTACAACTTGCTCAGAGACGATTGGGTCCAGATGTAATAAAGAATCTTTGCCAATTTCAAATGAATAGTATACTTATTCGATTCAACTAAATTTGAAGAGGATGCGATAACTATGTTCAAAAATATTAATCTATTCAAGAAAACCTTCAAAAATCGAGATTTTTCATGACTCGAATTTTTAGTGAAAATCGCTTCAAATATCTCGGATGCGGCCATGTTTCTGCTCATAA